AAAACAATTCAGCATTAATTGTATAGTATATAAAGTACAAGTGGATTTCAGAGAAGGGAGGTTTGATTTGGTGAGAGAATATGAATGGGTGATGAGTCCCCAAAGGAATTCCCAGATGGGGGGGCCAGAAAAATTGAGAAGGATATGATAATAGTTCTTTCTTTGTTTAAGAAGAGGCTTGAAATGACCATTCTTAAAGGTTAGAGGGGGGAATAATGTTGGAAATTTTATCAGTAATACCTCAGAGGAGATTACTCAGTTTTCTTATTTTTGAAGGGGAAAAAATTACACTGGGCACTCAGAAGAAGGAAACCAGAGGGGGTGACCAATTCCCCAGCGATCAGACTAGAATTTCAATATAGTAAAATTTCCAAGATCTGCTTCCCTTGTGTTGTGAATGCAGGCAGGAGATGGCAGGCAAGGGACAGATCATAGGCAGATCATAAGTAATGTCATATCCTCATTACTTCTCAGGTTAGGGTAAACACACTCTAAAATGAAAGGCAATGATATAAATTTGTACTGAAATCTTGCAAGTGGTGATTTCCGATGAGGATAACTGAAGTCCCTATATACTCATTTTTTTCTCCTGTTCCTTTCCTGCGGTACACAGCATTAGTTATCCTCCCTAAAGAAAAACAAAAAGTAATTTCAGCATCTAGGGTGGAAGAGGGGAGTCTTAATCATAGAGCAACTAGACAGCCCAAGGCTTTCCCAGTTCCACTCAGGCCATGTAAAGCTTCTGTGTCCCCTCTAGACTTGCATGGTTACAGGCACATCGGACTATGAAAGAGAGAAGATGCTCAGTCATCTCAGCTGTCAGCAGTGTTTTAGTCCTCTTTTCAGAAGATGCTACCAAAATGCTAGTTATCTTGAAAGTTGCACCCAGGGCATTTAGTTAACTTTAAAATGAAAGAAGAGCACCTATGTGGTTTTTATTCTGATGGTTACAAGAGAAAGGGATTCTAGAAAAAATAACGTCAAGTCTAGGTGAACTTGGGAGGTTATGAAATGGACCCAGGGAATTTTTCTGAAGAGGCTAAAAGGGAGCATGTTCCTTCTGCAACTTTCTTTGGCATTCTTTATATGGTCTGGAGCCAAGTCTGTGATTAAAGTCCAAGACTGCCGTGTGTGGGGGACATGGACCAGGTGCCTCCTGGAGATGCCAAGACTCCTACTTCCCCCACTGATCTAACAGTTCAAACTAAAACAAGTCAATCTGTCTTATAACTAGAGGTGTTGGGGAGGGAGATTGTTATAGGATCATCTAGATAATTGCTCTTCTTTCAGGGAAGAGTAAACCCAAAGCATCATATAAATATATAAATATTATATATTATATATTATATACATAACTTATTATATATAATATATATGTATATATATAATCCCTTGAATTGTATTCCTGGGACGGCCCTCCCAATGCACCCCATGTGAGCTATTTAGAATCAACTCATCCCTGTCAGGGTGTCGTTTATGTGCAGCCTCTCGTATTTCAGTTTCAGACTTTCCTTCTCATCCCTTTGTGGAGAGATGATCTCGCTGCTTATTGTCCTGTTGACCTCCTGATGAGAAGCCTTTAAATTCTTAATCACTCTTTTTTGTTGTTGTTAAATTTATTGATTTTCTTACACCATTGTTCATTTTTGGATAGTATATGATTTCTCCCCTCAGGTGTAGTCTCCACAATTCTCCCACCACCACAGCGCCCATGATCCATTACCACAGTCCCTTGCGCTCTTCCCTCCCCTGTTGACCTTTCCCTCTCCCCGTCCATATTCTCTTTTTTTTTTTACATCGTTCATTTTTTTTAATAAATTTTATTTTTATATTCCCCATACAATTGCAACCCCCTTATTTTGACCCCAATCCCTCCCCTCCCCGCCCTCCCACCCCCCCATAGAGTGTTTCTGATTCATAGTTTTTTGTTGATTTTGATTTTCACTTTCTTATAGTTATTCATTTTCCTGGTCCCTTATTTAAGTTTTCTAGATTCCTGCTATGAGTGAGACCATCCGGTATTTTTCTTTTTCTTTCTGGCTTATTTCGCTGAGCATGATCCCTTCCAGCGCCATCCATGTTGCTGCAAATTGCATGTGTTTATCTTTTTTGAATGCTGAGTAATATTCCATGGTGTATATGTACCACATCTTCTTGATCCAGTCATCTATTTTGGGCATTTGGGTTGTTTCCAAAGCTTAGCTATTGTAAATAGTGCTGCTATAAACATAGGGGTGCAGGTGCTCTTTGGAATTGATGTTTCTGTGTCCTTTGGATAAATCCCTAGGAGTGGAATTGCTGGATCATATGGAAGCTCTATGTTTAGTAGGTCCAGAAATCTCCACACAGCTCTCCATAGTGGTTGGACCAGTTTGCACTCCCACCAACAGTGCAGAAGAGTTCCTTTTTCTCCACACCCTCGCCAACATTTGTTGTTGCTAGTTTTTTTAATATGTGCCATTCTCACTGGTGTAAGATGGTATCTCATGGTAGTTTTGATTTGCATTTCCCTGATGACAAGTGATGTTGAACATTTTTTCATATGCCTGTTGGCCATTTGCATTTCCTCTTTGGAGAAGTTTCTTTTTAGCTCTTCTGCCCATTTTTTGTCCCCGGCCATATTCTGAATCTATTTTTTTTTTTTACAGACATTTGCTTCTGAAAGCTCTCCTTACATGCGCATAAGTAATACTCATTACTTGATGCCATCCTTCCCTCAGGTTGATTGCTCTTCTTTAGTTATGAAATCAAACTAGACTCAAGTCTAGAAAGTAATTTAACTGATTCAATATGTAAAGAGAAACAGTCTAATGAGCCTACAGTCCAGAATGTATTCCTCCAGGTCCATGCTCGCTGCTTTCTACGCCACAGCATAAGGCTAGTCATTTATTTTCTTGCTGTTCTATCAAACCTGTGTGTGATGGGGTCATTGTTCCCAGTAACCACCCTCTCACCAAATGTTTCTTCAATGGGCCAGAATCAAATGGTTATAACTAGTTGCTCAATGAATATATAAACCCATTTCTTTTGAATTAGGAAATACGTAGTGCCGTGGTTTGAAAGTTTGTGTCTCCTCAAAATGTATTCACTGAAAACCTAATGCTGAAGGTGGTGATATTGGGATGTGGGGCCTTTGGGAGGAAATGGGGTTGTGAGGGACTCACGTCATGAGATTAGTGTCCTTACAAGAAACATGGCAAAGAACCCGCTTGTCCCTTCCACCATATGAGGACTCAAGAGAAGTCTGCAATTGGAAGAGGGCCCTCACCCAACCAGGCTGGCCCCCTAATCTTGGACATCCAGCCTCCAAAACTGTGAGAAATAAATTTCTATTGTTTATAAGCTACCCAGTTTGTAGTATTTTGTAATAGCAGCCCAAGTGGACTAAGACATATGGTTTCTAAGAAGAAAAGGATATACAATGAAAAGTTTTATTTTAACACCTACCTCAGTCATCTAGTTTCCTCCCACAGGGTTTAATCCCATCTCTTGTTGCTAATGTTTTCATGGAGATAGGCCATGCATAAAAAAGGAAAACTTATACTATATTTTTAATACAATTGGCGGTGTGCTTTAACATTGCACTGCAGCTTTTCCTTTTTAATTTAATAACATAACTTGGGGAAGCTTTTTGCTTTTGTTACACACAGATCTCCTTTCCTCATTCTGTTTCATGATTGTATAGTATACTGCTGAGTCAATGTACTATAATATATTTATTCCAAATCTTTCTGAACAATGATTCCAGTCTCCAAAATATCTTCTATTGGCAGAATATTGCTGAAGACTCACCACCATACTTCCTTTGTACTGCACATCAGTTGGCAGGATGTATATTGTAAATGCTTGGTGCAAGGGAATGCAGGAAGCAGTGAGCTTGTAGCCTCTGCTGTCCAGGGAACTATGGTCTCCTCAGGGAGGGAAGACATGGGGATGAGGAGGACTTGATTGTCAATTCTGTCCTTCCACATTTTTTTGTTCCTTTGCTCATTAGACACTTTTTGTAATGACCTTATACATGGTACAAATGGCCTTTCCAATTGTTGAATGTTCACAGGATTGTTTGTGAGCCTGATCTGGTTTATATGGGGAGCCTGGAGAGCAGGAATCCAAAGCCCAAATGCCTACAGGGGCTAGAAAGAGTGCAGAAAGTGACCAATGGGTGGATGGGGGTGCACAAGCTCTGTATAAAGAGAACAGCCCCTACCTCTCTACTCAGGGAAGTGATCCCTCTGGGGGTTACCAAATCCCCATTGATTTAAAGCAACTGATGGATAAAAATCGTACAGGACCTATCCATATTATTGCTTACGATTTCATGTGAATCCATGATTATTTCAAAATAAAAGTTTAATTTAAAATAAGAAAACAGGGGGCCTCCCCGGTGGCGCAACGGTTGAGCGCTGGGTTGCGAAGCTGCCCGCAGCCTCTGTAGCGCCGGTTCGATCCCCGGCTGCTCCCCGGCCACTGGAGGAGGGTCCCACATGGCGCGCAGACCTCTCCTGCCGCCCGCTGCTCCCCTCAGCAGTGTACTTCGGTCCTTCTGCCTGCTCTGCTCCCCGCTCTGGCTCTGGTGAATTCTCTCACCCTCCCGCGCTTCTGACTGTACCCAGTGCATGTATAAACAAAACAAACAAATAAATAAATAAGTAAAACATGCGTCTATATAAAAAATAAAATAAAATAAAATAAAATAAGAAAACAGAATAATGAATAAGAAAATGAGAAAGGATCACTGTGTGAATTTATCCAATAAGTTATTGTGGGAAAATCTGTAATGCTGCATAAGCCAGGCCCAACAAAAACCCATCTGTAAGCCAGATGCTGCCTCAGAACCAACATTTTGTTATCTAGGTATGGTTGGCTCATTGCAACCTCATTTGTATGAAGTCTGAGACAATCCAATCCATGAGTTTGTTTTAAAAATTCTTCTCCTTACTGTGACTTTCCATTGTGACAGTGACCATCTCCATTTACTTTTGAATTTCCTCCTATTCCAGGTCCTTGGATGTGGCTCTGTGGCACAAGCTATCCTCAGTCGAGGACTTTTTGGAGGAGTCGTCACTGTAAATGTTGGATTTGCAATGGCAGTCGTAATGGCTATTTATGTGACTGGAGGTGTCTCTGGTAAGTAATGGAATAATGGTAACTACTATGAACCCAATAGTAGCTAGCCAATGTGCTAGCACAATGCTGGGTGCTTTATGAGCCTTAATTTATTTGTAGCTCAACAATCTTACAAGGATATGTACCTGATTCTAGTTTTATAGATGACACAATTAAAGTGACCAGAAAATGTCCACTGGTGCAAAGCAGTATTTAGTAAGAGACAGAGATAGGAGCTAAAACTCAGAATTAGCTGCTTTCTCCGTCTGGCTATGAATATATTTTTCATCTGTCAATATGATCTTTTCTTTGTTTCTTTGTTCTTCTTTGTTCTAATTCTACCCCGCCCTTGGAACCTACTTCCCAGACACCCAGTGAAAAACTTGGTGAAACTCATTCCAACAGAACAAGTCTCTGGGCCTTCATAGCAATTAGAGCGTCTGAGTTCCCTGCAGAATAGCTGGAAGTATAGGTGTGATCCAGAAGGTCTTCATCTAATTCTGCCAAGTGGTGGACAGCTTAGAATCCATTCTCAAGGTTCTGAGAAGAAATGATGGTATTTAACACAGCCTGGGAACTAATGAAAGGAATATGGAACTGCTCCAGTTCCCTAAGGCACTTGGAGTTTCTCAGCCAGCACCTGGGCTGGGTGCTCAGAAATTAAAAGGAGGGAATGAGCAAGTGAGCAAGTACTCCAGGCTGGCAGCGAACAGCTTCTCTGTCCTCCAAGCAATCCTCTAGGGCGGGTATTGTTATCTCCACTCTGCAGAGAAAACTAGAAAACTTAATCCTCAAAAGGGATTAAGTAAGTTGCCAGAAGTCCCATGGCTGGTAAAGGGACAGCAAAGATTTGACCGGGATCTATATGACAGCTCATGTCTCCTTGTTATATAACATTTTCAACAGTCTGCGATGGGAAAGGCATTACTGGCAGGGCCTTTGGGTAGAACGGTCCTACCAGAGGATCCTGCATTTAAGCCAGCTGACCTGGTGACATAAGCTGCCCCCGGAACACTGAGGAGTAATTGTTTAAACTCCTGGGAGCCTCTTCAGGCTGGTACCTGGAACAGCCCTTCCCTGGCTGGCACATTTTTCCATAGCACAGTCAGGCTCACATCCTGGGGCGGTCCAAGATAGATTCCTGTATGTGGGATTTGTTTGGAATGAGCGATGTTTCTGTTCACATGCTTGTCAGGCCTTTGCTCTGATCCCAGCACTGAATAACAAGAATAACCAGGGGCCATGCTGAGTGTGCTGCCACCTGATCACAGTGCAGGCCTTGACACCAGACACCCCACACCAGACGCACTCCCAGCTCCAGACAAGCATGCGGGGTGCTCTGAAGCTTCGGCCCCAGCCGACACACTCACTACATCCACATAAGTACAGTTTCTCCAGATCGTGCCACATAAATATAGGCACATTCTCAGCTATTTTATGGGTGGAAACGTGATTTTGGAGTATTTCAACTAAATCGAATATAGTCAAATGTTTGCTTAGAATAAATTGGTCCCAGATCCTGCCTATGTAATTAACATCCTTCACCACCACTGCTACCCATGTCTGTTTGTGTTCACTGATGTGCTTGCGGGCTTTGGCAGTCACCACAGCAGGAAAGAGGGTAGGAACCAGCATGAAGAAGGAGAAGGAGAAGAGGGTGTGAGGAAGGCGTGCAGCCTTCCCTGCTGGTCGCTCAGGGGTTGAGCCCTTGTGCTCAGAAGGGTGATAGCCAGAAATGATGGGACAGTTTTCACAAGAGATCATTTCCGGTTGAGTGTCGGATACTGACCAAATTGTTGACAGACTGTGAGATCCCAAGACAAAAACAGCCATTTCTGAGCCTGGCTGCTACAAGGTAACATTGGGTTGGAAAGGGAGCTGATCTGCCCATGTCTGTTTGGAACCTAGTGCTGTTCTGGCTCCCTGACTGGTGGCTTTGGGGATCAGCATAGATATCACACTTGCCCACTGATAACGTCCGCACAGACACCAGCCTTGTGGAATGAAGGAGAAAGTTTATGTGATGCTGGTGACTTTCTCAAGGTGGTTGCAGTTAACATGCCAGTTTGTGGGCATGAGTGAGACCCTCCTTGAGGATTCCAAAAATAACCAGTGTATATTGGGCATAAACAAATGGGAGCCCACTGTGTGGTCATGGACTGGTGGGGTCAGCTTCCTTCTGGTTTTGGAATATCAAATGCCTCCTTACTGTGGGGAGGTTACCACTGGCTTGCTCCTCTGTGAAGGTGCCTGTGATCTAGCCAATCAGAACTCACATGGCCTTCATGACTCACATGGCCTTCATGACACAGCCAATCAGAACTCACATGGCCTTCATGACACAGAACTCACATGGCCTTCATTCCCCCATAGTGTTTCACTGCCTGCTTATACCTCTACCATGGCCGTTGCTTTCCATGTAGCATTTTTATCAGTAACACTAGTTCACTGAAAAAGCAAACTAGCATTGCTTAAGGACAAATAAAAGATAAAGGTTATCTCTATCACAAAAGCAGCTGCTGGGTACTTGCCTGGAGCAGTACCTGGGGTGAGTCTGCCCTGCTCTCCTGAGACTACATTTAGGGTGATGGCTGCACACCTGGGCGCTTGTGGTGACTCATCTAATCATCATGACAACCCGAGGGTGCTGCCTTCAGAGTGCAGCTGTCCCTACCCCCTCTCTCATGTTCTTTCCCACAGCACTGGTCCTTCGGGTAAGCTTGAGGGACTGCTTGTGTCTGCAAGGAGCCACTTTCCTTATTGCTTTGAAAAGCACCCTCCAGACACAGGCTTCTTTCCCTCTCTACCAGTCTCTATGGTCTGAAACCTATTTGAATAAAGATTCTGGCTGTTTATTTCTTCTACTTTCATATCTTTGATACCTACTAAGTGCCTTGTATTATGTGAAGTTCATAGCAAATAATGGTTCCTGCCGCAGAGTGCTTATGAGGGAATACAAAGCATAGACCTACCAATGGAAAGTTTGTATACTGGGAAAAGAGATTGCTAAACAAATAACTACACCCATTGGGCTCATTGGAGAGGAGGTATCTTGATTGAAGGTAATTTCTTAAGGCTCCTTGTTTTTCCACAAGGGCCCCCTCCTGTCTAACTGTGTGGTAGCTACTCTCCAACCAGCCTTTGAGAGAAGAGGAACAGGGCTCCTTCCAGAACTTTCTACTGCCATCCTCTCCTAACCTGTTTCCAGCTTTCCTAATTAGCTATACTGCTAGTTTCCAGAATTGTGCTTCTTTTGGATTAAAAAATAAAACCGAACAGTTGACATGTCTACAAGCCTTCATGTTTTGATATATTGGCATTTTGTTGCTCAACTGGCCCCTGAATAGCTGTATTACTCAGTAGCAGATAGAATAAGGACCCTTTGGTTTTGTCAGCAGCCCACTTTGAGAGACTATAGAAAAGTCTAGCTTTCTTCACAGAGGGTGGGCTTCTAGAAACAAGCTCACCTATAGTTCTGTGAAGGTTCAAATGGCAAAGTACCAGTTTCTTCATCATCACTCTTGTTTATTATGTCCACAACCTGAAGGTCCACATTTCAATATAGTCACAGTGAAAGCAATAGTGACTCTGATTCCCCTTCTGTACAAAATGTCATCTATACTCTTCACATGAACACGCTTTGTCCCCAGGGAGTAAGCCATGTGCTCAAAGATGATTTTTGAAATTCTTTGTTTTGTTTTGTTTTTGCCCACTAAGGCACAGAAGCTTTTGTAAACCTGATAAGAAGGTCTGGAAGTCATGTAGGCTCTAAAGTTCAGATAAACCTGAACTGAATCCTCGTTCTGAATCCTCGTTCTACCACTTACTAACCTTACAGTCTTAAGAAAGTTACTTTACTTCTGCACCTCAGTTTCCTCAACTGTTAATTGGAGAAGTACCCATCTCATTGGGTTCTCCCAAGGATTACTCTCACATACCCCTAAGCTGGCATCTCATAAGGGTGCAATAAGTGTGGTTGCTGTTGCAAAACTAGCTGGGGAGATTGCAGACCTAACACAGGGCAGCCCCTTTGTCGGATCTTGGAGCTAGGTGAGAATCAAGGCTGATCATAGTTTAGGTTGGGGTGATGGAAATATTGCTACATTTTTGTGCTTTATGCAGAGGAATTGAGGAGAACCTACTCTGACACTGTGCTTACCTCAAAAGAAACTGAGTCAGTGAGATGCACAGCCTAAGACTGTTTTAATGTCCTCTGGATATGTACCAATGAATTATTAGATATAGATTTAAACCTTATAAAATATATAGTTGAATATATTGATTTTTAAAAAAATATATTGAAGTTAACAATTTACAACTATTTCTATCCAATAGATAGATAGGATAGATAGATAGATAGATAGATAGATAGATAGATAGATAGATAGATAGATAGCCACTTGTGCACAGCAAGTTTTTGTCTATATCTGATTCCTTTCAGAAAATTAAATGTCTAATAAAGGCATGAGGATTACTCATCATCCCCACTCACTCATACACATGCAACCCTTTTTTCCCCTTTTATGGTTCTCTGCCTAGAAGACTGAATTCTGACTGAGGTCTCTTCATAAAGTTTTCTTCATACTAATTCTCCCTGGCCTGCCCACTGACATTCCTGTTCTATCTTCCTTGCAGGTGGCCACATCAACCCAGCTGTGTCTTTTGCAATGTGTCTCTTTGGGCGGATGAAATGGTTCAAATTGCCTTTTTATGTGGGAGCCCAGTTCTTGGGAGCCTTTGCAGGAGCTGCAACCCTCTTTGGCATTTACTATGGTGAGTAGGGCCCCTGAGCCCAGGGGTTGAGAGAGCTGACTTAAACTGAAAATCTTCCTTGGTAGGAAGAAGTGAGATAAGCAAGGATTGGAGGCATTCTATAATTGACAGCACCTTCTAAGAGTTCTGAGTTCTAAAGGACAGGGCCAACATTACCATTAGGGTAAATTCATGAAGCCTCTAAATGAAAATGGTCCCAACTCAAATGGGGGCAAGAAACAGAACTTAAAGGAAGCCTCTAGCAGGCCCAACCAGTACTACCTGCGAATATGCACAAAATAAGCAGAAGGTCAGTGACTCCTCCTCAGCTTTCTCTGATTTGACGTGAAAGGAGGCATCTGCAGGTGGTAAAAAGATTTGATGAGTAAGTACTTAAAGAAGGAATCTGGAACTGTCTTTGAAGGAAGGGCACAGCAGAGAAGCAGACTGGGTGGGGAACTTCAGTCCCCTCTATGCAAATGCCAGAAAAGCAGCACTGAGAAACAGACCCAGCTTGCAGTTCTGTGCTAGGCTAGAAGTAGCTGTGTGATTTTTCAAATGTTGTCAGACTTTCTTGGGCTCTTTCCTTCTCTGGAAAATGAGAGACTTCAAGTGACTCTTGATGACTTCTAAGGCTCTTCAAGTTAAACAATCTTAGGATTCGATGAAATTAACTATTAAAGTAGCTCCTTTTGTCTAACCTAATACAATGAATCTCAAACTGATGCCCTCTGGAACTAGAAATGTGAACCAAGCCTTAGAGAAATACCTTGTGAAAAGGGGCCTTTTCCCACAAGTATCTTTCTGAGAATTAGAGTCTAAGAGGACCAAATTCAACACCAGACCAAAACTCTGAGAGCCCTGGGTCTACACTGACTATGTCAGGCCCCGTTCTCATGCTTGCTCTAAGGCGTCTTCATATCATGACACCCTCAAACACTGACAACCCTCGTGGCACTTTGAATTCTGCCTGAAGTAGGTCCAAGCTCCACTTTAACTTTTGATCAATCTCAAAAATTACAAGAATTCCCCCAAAACAAGATTGGTTCCCAAGACCCACTGGCTAAGGATTTAGTTCAAGTTTCGAATGAACTGTCCAGGGCAGCCAGGGATTTCTGTCTTTGACCCACCACCCTAGAACTTCTCTGGGCATCTCTAAATCTACAGCGCTATGAAATAAAGAGAGACAAATGACATGGATCTGCCAAGCTAAACATTCCTACAGTTGTTTAGCACAGAGCAGGCCTCACTCAGTCTTGCCCAGAGAACACTAACATGCCAGACTCTGTCTTCCATAGATGGACTTATGTCCTTTGCTGGTGGAAAATTGCTCATCGTGGGAGAAAATGCAACAGCACAGATTTTTGCAACATACCCAGCTCCATATCTGTCTCTGGCGAATGCATTTGCAGACCAAGTAAGTGTATATTCCACAAAGACCTAACTTTGGTGAAAAGGCATGATCCAATAAGGGGAATGTATAAAAGCATTATGGGCCTATCAGAAAGGAGAGGCTATGTCTTCAAAGTCAGGTCAATAGACAAAACCCACAAATTTTGGGGTTTGCTCAAGTTGTGATGCTGTTAATAAGGTTGCTGCCTCCTCTTTGATAGTGTACTTGTTTCAATCAGTTAAGAGTAGATGACTGGACATTTCAGACCCTATAGGGACAGTGGAGTTTGCTTCATTATTGCTGTTTCTCTTGTTTTGGGGGAATTCTTGTAATTTTTGAGATTGACCTCATCTAAATGTGGGGGCCACAGAAAAAGACACTGACTCAATTCAAGGACTGTGAAGTGTGGTAGTTGAGCCTGGGTAATCACAGATGCTCCCCCATTAAGGTCTATTTATCTACACTCTCAAGGTTGCTGAAAGGGAAGGATGGAAGAAGAGGGAAGAGATAGCTGAAGGCAAGATGGTGGGGGTCCCCAGTCTGTGGGTGTCAGTTTCTGTTAAGAGAAAGATTAACTGGGTGATTCTTTCTAGTTTCAAAGTACCAGGAGTCTATCCTCCTAGGCAAGTCAGGAATGACAGGGAAGGTAGAAGCTCTTAAACCTTAAGTGCACGAATTGACTATTAATAAGATGTATTTTCTAAGTCAATAAGGATCCCAGGGATGCCTCAACATGGGCTTTGGGGATAGATAGAGTTACAGGATTTTCCAGGGACCTTATTTTCCATTTAATTCAACCCTATTTGTCTTATAATGAAGAAACTGGCTTTGGATTGAGAAATGCTGAAATTTCGTTAGAAATGTCTCATGTGATTTCAGATTTTTTTTTCCACTGGCAGTAAAAGAAAAAATGCTGACTTTCTCTCTGAAACCTTGACTTGCGCTGAAAAAGATGATGTGTCTGTCCCTTGTGATTTGCAATGACAGCCACCTCCCTGTGCTCTGGGGCTGTTCTGTGATTGTGAGAAACAAGGTGAAGCCCCAGGCTCATGTGCTTTCCCCCAAAGGCAGCCCTCTCCAGTGGGTCCTGGAACAACTCTCTCTTCCCTCCTTGCCCTCCCCAAAGTGGGCTGGCCCAGGACTTCCCTGACCACCCCAAGGGCAGGAGTATGGTATAATCCTCCCTTCCAATTCTGAAGCAAGCCTGGAGACTCAGTCCCAGTCCTACCTCTTCCCATGCATTTGCCCTTGCACAAGCCACTGAAAACTTTCTGAAGACCCAGTTTAATGTTCTGATCAATGGAATTTCCTAGTCTCTCCCTTCCTGTCTTCTTCCTTTTCTCTCTTCCTCCCAGTATTGTTCTATTAATGGAATTTTGTAGAATTTTGTATTTCCCAGTTCTTATCCTCAAGATTTCACCAAGTGTCGGTCACAGGAAATTGTTTCCAGAATTTTCTGCTAGTTAGTAGGGGAGTCCAACCTCACTGAGGATTAGCCATATCTGCCTCTTATATGCTTTCTTTACTGTTCCCTATCTAAAAGTGAGTTGCCATGGTTATAGTCTGTTACTATACACAGCTAAGAAAAAAAATATTAGGAAAGTCTGGTGCTCCAAAAAAGTATCAACTATCAGTCAGTCGGTACCCAACAGAACTCTTGGCAACCAGGGCCATATTTCTGGGTCACCTCCTCTTGAGATTGCAAGTTCAAGCTTGGTCCATAGTTTAATTAATATTCATTCAGCTAATAAATATTTATGAACACTTATGAATTGAACCAGGTACAGATCCATGCTGTTCCTTCTCCCTGGAGTTCAGGGGCTGCTGTGCAATCTCACAGGCACACGTGTCACTCTTTTGCAGGGTGAGCAGGGCAGTGGCAGACATACAGTTAGTATGCAATAAAAGTCCAGAGGTGGAAACTTCTGTTCTATGTGGGAGAGTCAGCAAAGGCTTTCTAGAAAAGAGCACTTGGGAGGACATACCTCTTTGAATACAGATTCTTTTAGTCGCATGATGTTGGAAAGCAGATGAAATGATGCAGAGCTTAAACTCTAAATTCAATTGCCATGTTCTCATCCTGATTCTTCTGTGTATGCGCAGGGTGCCCTGGGGCAAGTTCCTGAACCTCTTTTAGCCCAAGTTTTATCCTGTGTAAACTGAAAATAATAATAGGATTTATCTAACAGGTTATTATGAAATTCTAATGAGATAAGGTATATGAAGTACCTGACATATAATAACTGTTCAGTAAATAGTAGCTATCATTTAGCTGTTAAGGTAAAATAATAGTTTGGAAAGTTCAGAAAATAGAAAGTGGGGCAAATACCAGCCATAACCCACCACTTCAGATACCTGTAGTATATTTTGTATATTCTCTTTCATTTTTATGTGCGTTTTTTCATATAAAATTTATTGCACATGTAATTTTCTATTTTTTACATAATAGAGATAGCATACACATTTTAAAATGTTACTACATAACTTTCATGTTCATTGTTTTTAGTTTTTATTTTTTTTTAAGATTTATTTATTTATTTATACAAGCGCTGGGTACAGTCAGAAGCGTGGGAGGGTGAGAGAATTCACCAGAGCCAGAGAGGGGAACAGAACAGGCAGACCGACGAAATACACTGCTGAGGGGAGCAGCAGGCGGGGCAGGAGAGATCTGCGCGCCATGTGGGACCCTCACCGGTGGCCGGGGATCAAACCAGCACTGCAGAGGCTACGGGCAGCTTTACAGCCCAGCACTCAACCACTATGCCACCAGGGGAGGCCCTGTTTTTATTTTTTATATATAATTTTTTTAAATGAAATGCCATTGTTTTACATTCTTGTTAATTTTTTTGACAGTTGAGGTTTTCTCCCCTCAAGTATGCTCACCATAGTTCTCCCACCATCAAAACATCCATAGTCCTCTACCATAGTCCATTGTGCTCTTCCTTTTTATTATTTTTAATGGCTATAAAATAGACTATACAATAGTCACTACAATATGATTAGCTCTTTTCTAATTGATGTACTTTCCCTACTGATGTACTTCTACTTGTCAAGTACTATAATCAATGCTTCAGTGAAGATATTTGTTTTATGATTAGTCTGTATTTTAGATTACTTCCATAATTTGGAGCTCAGATACCCAACTGGTTCAAATTATATAGATAATTTTCTAAAAAGTATATAGCTCAATTACTATAGACATTACTACATAAACATAAATTACTGCTGAATTTCCTTTCAAAGATATAGTTTAGTTCTACCAGTAAAGCCTGAGAGAACTGGTATGATTTCCCTACATTTGGTGTTTACATTTTTTTCGTTGCAAGTTAGTTGATCCCATATATTTGTTTCTTCATTCTATTTTTCTTTCAGAACTTTCTGCTCATTTCCTTTGCCCATGAAGCTATGGATGTCTCACATTTTTTTTCTCACCAACTTGAAAGAGCCTCTTTGCTTGTTTTTCTAGGCTGCAGCTTGTCTTTCTATTTCACTGGGTAGTGGTGTGTAGCGAAGATAACGGTCTTTAAAGGGGGGGCTTCCGGGTCCACACCTAACTGCCCTGAGTGTGTCACCTCAGGCAGGTACCTACCCTAAATGGGAATAGATATCAGAGCACCCATGTCTAGATTGGCATGATAAGAAGAGCGCCGGCAGTGTGCTCACCAGGGTACGTCAATCACTACTAGGTTTGTTCTAACAAGAATGGGTGAATGTTGAAGTGGATGAGTGTATAGAATACAAACTAAACCCCTTGCATTCTCTCCTCCCCAGGTAGTGTCCACCATGTTCCTCCTCATGATTGTCTTTGCCATTTTTGACTCCAGAAACTTGGGAGTCCCCAAAGGCCTCGAGCCCGTTGTTATTGGCCTCCTGATTATTGTCATTTCTTCCTCTCTGGGACTGAACAGTGGCTGTGCCATGAACCCAGCTCGAGACCTGAGCCCCAGACTGTTCACTGCTTTGGCAGGATGGGGTTTTGGGGTCTTCACGTAAGTAATGGGGTGGGGGGGACAATTCATGCTATGTTTTTTTTTTTTGGAGGGGGGGCTGTATTTTGACTTGGAAATCCAAGAGAGTTCAGATGGGAGGGTGGAAGTTAAGCGCATACTCTGCTACCCTGGTGATAAGTATGGAAAATTTAACTGGTGATGTGGAATATGGGGTGGGAGTGGGGAGGAGGGAAAGTGGAGAGAAGTAGAGAGAGAAAGGGTTCAGGTGCATTTAAAACAGTTAGGTCTGCCCCCATATATGTAGACACAGAGATATATAGATATAGATGTATAGCGATGGTTTCAGGTAGATATTTTGGTTGTATAACTCAGCTATAGATTCACTTTGTGACAAAGTTGGGACTAGAATTTACATCTTCTGATACTACTACAAGACTCTGTCTGGTGAACCAAACTAGCTGTGTCATTCGCTCATTCACTTTATTGTAAAACTCTCTCTGCTGTGGTCACTGTGCTAGGCAAGGGAATTTCAAAATCAGCCAAGATACTAGCCTTGAGCAACATAATAAGCACTCTGGCAACCCCTAAAACAAAGTGCTGAAAGAACTCTTTGGAAGTGACTAACGCTGCCTTGGGGAAGCTGAGAAAGGCATCACAGAATAAGTGAGAGCTGAGCTGGGTCTTGATGAGTAAGAGATTTCTGGCAGAACAGACATAAAGGAGAGCCTGTCCAGAGGGAAAAGCAAGATCCCATGCATTCTACCTCAGCACATGTTGAGGAAATAAGCCACCTAGTGGTATCGACCTCCTGCTACAAAGCCTATCCATTAATTCCTTCCCACTTCTCCCCACAAAGGCAAGTGACCTGTCCCCATCTACTCATCACATCTCTGTATGAGAAAAGAACTCACTTTGGCTCATCAGGAAATAGGAGAAATAAAAATGGGAAAAAACATGTGAGCAATTTTCAGTTTTATATCTGCTCTGAGAATAAGACTCGAGGGTTCCTAAAGGTTGGCCTGTATATGTAGTCGTATGCCTATGTGGCCTTTGAGAGTTTGAGTCATTTCACAAGTAAAAAAACAATAACTGATACCACTCAGATCTCAACCACAGACAGCACTGAGGGCCATTCGAGTGGAAACATCATGAGGACAGGGACCTTAACAGTTTTTCACTGTCGTATCCACAGAGAGTAATATAGGGAATGACACATAGAAAGTCTCAATAAAAGTTGTTGAATAAAAGAATGCTATGGGCTAGACATGTCCTAGGGGTTGAGGGACACAGACAAACAACATTCCCTATTTTTAAGAAACTAACAACACAGTGAATCTTCTAGAGCAGTGATTCTCCATCAGGGGCAATTTTGTGCCCAGGGACACTTGGCAATGCTGGCAGACATCTTTCGTTGTCATAACTGAGGAGGGTGGAGGCAGAGGTTATTACTTGGCATCTAGTACGTAGAAGCCAGGAACACTGCTAAGCATCCTACAGTACTCAGGACAGATTCCTACAACAAAGAACTATTCAGCCAAATTTGTTGGAAGTGCCACAATTGAGAAGCTCTGTTCTAGAATGATCACTGCTAGAACATGAAAGTTTGGAAAAAATGTCCTCAACTGGGAAGGATCCTTTGTATTTTCCATTGAAGAATCAAAAACATATGTCCTAAAGATCTCCTTAGTCCAAGTGAGTTTGGACTTAGCCAGTGAGTTTCCTTCACTCCCACCTTCCTGAGCTTTGCTCTAGGAGACCACCACTCCTACCACCAAGTCACCTCTGTTAGCTTTGCAGAGACCCCTAGCACAAAGATGCCCCCAAAGCATCTCAACCTCCCTTTGATCCCTCTTGGTGACTCACCCCAAGTTCTAAGAACAGTGGTGGTTCTAAAATAGATAGAGATCTTGTTTGCGAGCCCAGATATATTCTTTCCTTGCTTTGTTAAGTATATGTTGACATGTCTATACGAGAATGTTGGACTCACTAAATGTCAAATTCTGATCCTTATTAGCATCGGGACTTTGCCCTCCATGCATTCATTTATTCATCCTGGCTGCCACCTGGTCTGTATTCAGGGCCCTGTGCTAATGATAAGGCCCAGTTGCTGCCCTTCACTGTTTTATTTATGTTCTATTTTAAGAGGCTAACTAGGCTCTTAGAGAAGATGGAAACTGTTAGGTGCTGTGAAAGAGATTTAGCTAATTAACTCCAGGAGTTGAGACTATTTGAAGCTCTGATTTCTGAAATTATGGGAGTGGACCTAGGGACATTCTGTAGTATTTGAAGATGTTTAAACAGTGGGTGAAGAGGCTATCTCAGGCAGAGAAGGTACTATATATAAAGTCAAAATGTTAACATAAGTGATCTAGTCTAGCTGAAAGGATGCATAAAGAAGGTTGAAAAGGGCAATTGTTGTCCGATTATCCAAGAATGAAAATTTTGAATTTTTGCTGGCCCCTATTCTGTGGACTATAGGCAGCAGCAGTAGATTTAGGGCATAAGTTTGACATGATTGCAACTTCAGTTAGCAAAATTAATCTGGCAGCATCATGTTAGATGGATTTTAAAAAGGAAAAAGTAGAGTAGCAGAAATCAATTAGGAAAAAGCTAGGTTGGCTGGTAGTCCAGAACCCAGAAGTTCTCAAGAAAACCTCTAAGTGATCGCAGGGCTCCAAAGGATCCCTAGGGTAGATTATTCTTTTAAGGTTCTATATCCATGGTAAGACACTCAATAAATGTCCTAGCTTGGACCCACACCCAAGGTCCCACTTATTCCCAGCTGTTCACTTTTCCCCGAATGGCATGTAGTGGGGCGAACGGGAAGCAGGGGGCGAGAGGAAGGTATGATGAGGGGCAGAGTCAGTAAACCTGACTAGTTTTTCCCTCAAGTAGTAGGATTTCCATCTGAGTTCTGTCCACTAATTCACATTGAAGTGATAGTGACTTAAAGGATGAGGGTCTCAGGTGTATTGGTTTCAAAAATGTTTTATCCGAAGGAACGAATCCATAATGACAGTATTTTAGAAATTAACAAGACTTTTTTTCTGGCATCCCCCAAATCATTACATGAAAGTGATACTGTGTGCATGTAAGATGGGCCAGGCAAGTGCCCATATCTGAGCTCCTTCATATATGACGTGTGAGCCCAGCATGTTCTACCTGGCAGAAGGAAGAACAGGCAGTGAAAGGAGGACATGTTTATTGACAGAGATCTTGGACCCTAATCTGTTAGATGATAGAGAAAGATTCACTATAGAACAGTGACAGAAGAATGGATATGATGGACCAAATAAGGCAGCTCAGACTTGCGTCGTGTGCTTACCAGAAGAGAAGCTCCTAGTTCTTAAAGCCCATGTGCTTCTCATAGAAAAGCCCATCTGGATTTGGGGGCGTGGGAAAGGGAGCTGGAATGCAGCAGAGCAGGGTCCTCTCTCCCACGCAGTAAGAGTGACATCTGGTGGCTGCTCTGCTCTGTCCCAATGCTCTTCCCTCCTGCTGTCTTCCTGAGCTGAGATGGATGATACTAGAGAGTGCTTGGGTGATCCAGGTGGGACAACCCCCTGCAGATGGACGAGCAAAGGAAGGCCCCAAGACTTTCTAGACAGTCCTGAGATTAGAACTGTCTCTCATAAACCCGCAGTCAGGGCTCTTGTTTTCTGCTTTTTCCCTCTAGTATCTTTGCTAAACAAAACTTGATACAAACATAAGGTCCCATGCAACACACTAGTCATGTAGTTACATAAGGTTATTAAGGATTACAAAAAGAGAACAGCCATGACCCTTCCCCCCAACTAAACCCTCGTAAAATCCTCACACCTATCTGCTCTTCCTCCTTTTGGTCTCATTGCATTATCCTGAATTTTTGTGTTTATCATTCCCCTGCTCTTAAAAGGCTTTATCTCAAATATATGTATCCTTAAATAATATAATGTATATTATCACTTGCTTCTGAGCTTTGTAGTCTTTTATGAGTTATTTTTTTAAATTTTTTAAAAAGATTTTATTTTATTTATTTATACAAGCACTGGATACAGTCAGAAGCGTGGGAGGGTGAGAGGATTCACCAGAGCCAGAGCAGAGAGCAGAACAGGCAGACTGACGAAGTACACTGCTGAGGGGAGCAGCGGGCGCGGCAGGAGAGGTCCCTCCCGCCATGTGGGACCCTCACCGGGTGGCCAGGGAACAAATGAGCACTGCAGAGGCTGCAGGCAACTTCACAACACAGCGCTCAACCGCTGCACCACTGGGGAGGCCCTATTTTAATGGATTTCAAGAGATAGTGACAATTCACAAAAACACCTGCTAAGTCACCGAACTCTACCTTTAGTACAATGTACTGATACTAAGGATTTCTAGAAGGGAGAGAGGATCATGACACCGACATCTTATCAAAGAGTAATTTTAAGCTGTCACCTCAAAAAATAAGCACTGAATTTAATTATGTATAGTAGGCAACAGATATATCCACTTTTGATTTTTTTAAATTCTTTCCTTCATTGACAAGCATTTTCAAGGATACAAGTCAGGACAGCCCCTGGGGTGAGGGAAAGAGGATATGAGTCATAGACCAAGGATATCCAGGAATCTTTCCACATCTCTTTTCTATTCATGATCCCCAGGATTCATTATTTCACGTTGGGGGAAGGGCAGTTCAGGAATAATTGACTTGAACTTTCCCTAGATGCCCTCAATTTTGAGCATGGATTCAAGGACTGTATTTTCTTAAAGGAAGACAAATAAGACATATTCTCAATACATACTAATGGGACAATGGAATGATGGTTTAAAATGGGGTATACTGGAAATCTGAGATGATGGTTACCAAGCTACGATGAGCACCTTTATGTATCGAACTCTTGCTAAGTTATAAGGGAGCTATAAGTATAAGAAAGATGAGCTGATTAGTGAGTAGTTAGACAGTAATGCCAGGAAGAAGGTTGAGTAGTGTGTGACTAATTTCTTGTTTGATTTCAGAGCTGGAAATAACTTCTGGTGGATTCCTGTAGTGGGCCCTTTGGTTGGTGCTGTCATCGGGGGCCTCATCTATGTTCTTGTCATTGAAATCCACCACTCAGATCCGGACCCAGACTTCGAGGGAGAACAGTTTGAGGACAAACCAGATAAATATGAACTTAGTGTGGTAATGTAGTAGCAGACTCAATTCTGGGTTTGCAGCTGGCGGAGCTGGTGTTTTCTTCAGAAAAGATGGCATTAGGTGTCCATGTTTTCATAAGCCTGGGGTGGAATCCACTCAGTTTTCTTTGCTGGCCATATGGGACCTTAACAGGAAAAGCATCTGAGTGAAGGGGTGAAAACATTGACCTTTTCTCTACCAGTTTTCCCCCAGAATAGTACTAACTATCCCCCAAAAATAGCTTTTTCCTTGCCCTGTTTATTTAATCCTTTGATCGGAATCCTTATTATTGGGTTAGTACTAATAACTTGAAACCTTGACCATGAACTTAACTTAGATAGTCTCAGCTGCATTGCCCTTATGAAACAATGTCACCAAAAGTCATGTTTTCATTATCCATAAAGATTATGTTATATACCAATCAAAACTAAATTGAAAGACAAAACAGTGGTTTCAGTTAATTTATCTATGAATTAGGGAGCTATTGGGCTCTCTGATAATGCTGTGCCTCTGTATTTGTATAAATGCTGAACGTCTCCAAATCCATTGATGCAGGAACAGGAATGGTAGAATGCAGCTGGAGGGCACAGAAAAAGGATATTGTGGCATTTATAAACCTCAGGAGACAAGATAAATTTGGGAAACCAAATGGAAATGTTTTAATGGAAACCATTTATCAGATTAATCTCTTGCTCTTTCTTTGCATGTTGGAGGGTAGCAATTAATTTCCTGGTCTTTAGTATATAATAACCTAAAATACAACGTCACCTTCAGTCATGAAAAATACATTACTCTGTTCTTTTAGCTCAAATATGTTTTCCTAATTGCCCACTTGAGGATTGACATTTGATAAGTGAAGTCAATGACTGTACTCATCCATCATATTAAACATGCCCTAGAAGCCGAAACTGAAAACCATGGGAGCCTGGTCTAGTAGAACTTCAAGATGGAAGTCCCTGGAAAGACTTACAATTCACAAAGTCCTTTCAAGTATATTATCTAATTTATTCCTCATAGTGACTGTCAGGTAAATGCAATGCTGCCCATTTTTTTGATAAGGAAACAAATCTCAGGGAAGTTAAATGAGTTGCCTGATGTCGCATAGGAAGTTTAATATCATCTAAGGCATCCTCCATCTGTCAGAAGATCAATAACTGACTGAGAACCTTGGCTGATCCCTCCTGGCTGGACACAAGTAGGACTGGAAGCTGCCAGAACATATACAACTTATGGACATAATTCTCCTGGATCCTGAGATACAAGTGCCTTCCTTGTCTAGACTTTGTCATTACTAGTACTGAAGTACTAACAAAGAAAATAGGTGGTGATTTGGACATATTTTTCATTATCGGAAACATTACCAGAAGGCCTCCCTTCTTTGCCCATCCTTGGTCTTAAGCCTTGATCTTTCTCCCGGCCATTGCCAAACATTACATTCAGGGAATTTCCTCTTGGTTAGTTCTTCCCCGTGAAGTTCTCTAATTGATGTTACTTTGGTCAAAAGCATCTCTGTGATACCTCCGAGAATTTGCTCTCCATGAAGTGATATCTCTTCAGCCAAACTGTTTCCCAATTGCTTTGTGATGATAACAGAACAACAAAAAGCAAATGTGAACTGTCTCCAGTGACTTGTGTTCAATAATATAACCACATATGGAATTTTTTTTCTTGCTCTGAAACTACCTAGATATTTCCTTTTTGAAATAAAATTGGGTTTTTTTGGAGTTTTTATAAGTACTAAGACTGCTAAGAACATACAGTTCAGAGGTGGTCCATCCTGTATACAAACTGAAATCAACTGGGAAACTTAAAAAAGATGAATGCCCACTTGGTCTTTACTGTATAGCTTGGTGATTCTGAAGTGCAGCCTGGGTTAAGAGCACTGCCTTGGTTAAGTGATGTGGGTATAAGGATTTTCTGAGAACCATTTCTAGTGGTGATCAGGTAATTCTTGGTGGGGTTCTCAGTCAGGATTCACAAAGCTCAGAGAGCAGTGGGTCTCAATAGGAGATGATTTTCTTCCCTTCCACCCCCACCCACGACCTCTGCAAGGGGCATGCAGTGACATGTTTTTTGGTTGCTGGACAACTGGGGAGGGGTGTTGCTAAATATCCTACAATGCTTAGAATGCCCACCCCCAGCAAAAAAATTATTCAGCCCCAGATATCAATAGTACAGAAGTTGAGAGACCCAAGATTCAAGGAAAAGTGAAAATATGTCAAAACCTGTACCATGACTCAAGTTCTGCCAAAAAATACGCCAAACAAGTCAGGAACAGCCCCTGGGGATGGATGTGGTAGAGGGAGGATGCAAGCCAGGAACAGCCTGGGAGTGGGGGTAGAGGGAGGATGCAAGTCAGGAACAGACCCTTGGGGCACGGGAACAGTGTTATAATTATTAGAGGAAGGGGCAGCCTGAGATTTCAGTTCTTGTGTTGGATTTGGAATCTGCGATCCAGGCAGGTGCTCATTTAACACTACTTTGATAAATGACTAAGAACATGAAGAGGAAGTGTACACTTATGGAAATCAACCCAAGGAGATTTTTTAAAGTCAAAAACTGTGTTCTTGTATCCTGGGCTCACACTCAAAGCCTTCCCCTCCCCCAGTAACTGAAGCAACCAGACAGAGCCAAGCACCCTATTTGTTAATAAGAGCCCTTAGGAGTTAGAATTGCACATCCCCTGACTCTCTTCCTTGTCAGTCATAAAACTTAATGGGAACCTTTTAATGCCCCAAAAAATGTAATTTCTCTATGATTCTCCCGCCAATGGAGCGCTCAGAGCATGGCAAAGGTTGTAGGACTTTTCTAACCAATAAGGATGCGGGTTAATATACAGGATAAATTGGAGTAAATGGAGTAAACATGTCACATTTAAAATTGTGATCCTTAGAATACAAATTATTGTTCCCTTTAAATACATTACACACACACACACACACACACACACAAATACACTTGTCTTATTTAAAGGTACATCAGAGCTCAAAAATATCATCATGGAAAAAAATTACAACATCCAGTTATAGAGAATGGTTTACCAGTTTTATTTAGCCACAGAACCTATTCTTCAAATAAAATCTAATATGGTACCCATAGGTAAACCAGAGCTGCTATAGAGAGGTGGAGGCAAGTCAACCACTGAGGATTCTCTGAAGAGAAACTCTGTGTGTGTGTGTGTGTGTGTGTGTGTGTGTGTGTGTGTTAAGGGGAATGTTCAGAACAGCTTCACAATTTGAAAACCATTGACAGAGGACCTGGAACAAGTTGTTGTTCGATATTTTCACGGAAGTTTCAAGGATAGAACCTACCAAAAAAATGCATTAGTTCAATCTCGGGTAATTTTCCAAAGAAAATTGGTTTCCCACCCAACCATCACCCACAAAGAGATGCTGTTTATCAATTCTCAGACTTGGAATTTCAGTTCTCTGAGATAACATGTCTACTAATCACAGTACATGGAGAAAAGTAATCTTTTCTCATTTATTGCTAGAAATACAGTAGCTCCTATCTAAGAGAAGTGTCTGTCTTCAAGAAACGAGGGCCTCATGTAAATTGAATGTGAATAAATGAATTAGTTGAGAGAATCTGTGGAACTATGTGTAGACAGAGGTGCTACCCAAACACGACCCGATCTCCCCCAGGACTATATTATATCTTTTATGGGCTTTGGGTATTTTATACTTGTAGGGCCCTTCCTTGAAAGAAATTTTTTTATAAATTATTTTTTATGACTGTACTGGTTAGCAATCTAGTTTATTTATTTTTTTCATATGATGTTAGAAGAGATTAAAACATTGGGCCTCCCTGGTAGCACAAGGGGTTAAGCACCAGCACTTTGAAGCTATCAGCAGCCACTGCAGCATGAGTTCGATCCCCAGCCAGGGAGCAACCCACATGATGCAGCAGACCTCTCCTGTCTCACTCACTGCTCCCCTCAGCAGTGTATTTCAGTAGATCTACCTGTTCTTCTCCCCACTCTGTCTCTGGTGAATCCTCTCATTTCCCTCCCCCCCCACCTCTGGCCTACACCCCAGATCTTGTATGCATAGATAAATAAATCTTAAAAAAAAGTAACTTCATTGACAATATTTTGAAAAAAAAAAAGAGATTAATACATTTTTGTGGGCTCCTGAAAATATTGTCCCTCATGAATAAATTGTGATGGGTTTTGTTTGTCTCCCTGCAATGGGATAGAAGCTCTACATTAGCAGGACTTCTGCTCTTTTTTCCACAACAGTTGCCCCAGAACCCAGAAAATCATAACAGCTCAATAAATAGATGCTGAATGAATGAAAGAATGGGTCATCAAATCAGACTCCAGGTTCAAATCCTGGCTCCTCAGGATTTACTTACTGTAAGAGTAGCCAAGTTACTTGCCTCAGTTTATTCATCTATTAAGTGAAATTACTAATAGTGAGATCATCAGCATAAAGCACCTAGAAAAATTCCAGGCACATATTAAGTATTCAGTGCACTTGAACCATTGCAGCTCTGCAGCTGCTGCTGTTATTATTACTAGTGTCATTACAATGTGTTCTAATTTTAAAACATGGGGTAAGGGATCCAAATCTGATTACAAGCTCTTCTCATATTTTCCATAATTTAATATTACTCAGCTCTCACATGTATCTTTCAAACACCTAAGGAGTTAGTTTTTACTTTTAAATCTTTAACAGAAGTCCGTAGGAGTATCTTAATTTTCTTCACTTTAGCACAACGTGCATTCCAGCCAGCTTCAACTATTGCCAACACACGGCCAATATTGTTCCATCTCCACCCCCTCTTTGCTTCTCACTACTCCCCTGGGATTATTTTTTTGAAGCAAATCCCAGATAGGGCATTTTATCCATGAAAATTTAACGTACTTCTGTAAAAGATTAGGATTATTTTTTGAACACCACCAAGATATCATTATCACATATAAATATAACTCACAATAATTTTCTAATATCATCAAACATCCAGTTCACGTTTGCATTTCCAGTGTGACCCCTCCTTTAATTCTGGCACATGACAGTATGGACTCTAAAAACAAGCGACTCACTCTGTATCTAACTGCTCAGGAGAATGTTGGGGTCCTACAGCAATCATTCGCTGCAGTTTTGTACCTTTGTGTTGCAAGTGCAAAAATCTTTGATAAGAGTTTTGTAAAATATTTTCAATCTTATACCAAAAGGAAAATGCATTTGCCTGCTCTTACTAAAAGTAGCATCTGCTAGGAGTGAAGCTATTTTTTGGTAGTGAGGAAATCTTGAATTTCTTGAAATTGCAGAATAGATCTTTAGTAACTATTGTTATATCAAAAATGCATACTCTTCAAAATGCTTACACTTGAAAAGCTAAACCTCACTGTGAAAAGAAATCCAAATATTTAACATCCGTGTGGCCCTGCATGAGACACTGTGACTAAGATAAGTGAAAACCTAAAAATCTGTGACCTACTAGAACCTGTAGCAGCAGTATTTGTTTGATACTTCCGATTGGTTTCTTCGATTTTTTTTCTTTTTACCCAAAGTCTTCAGACCTTTGGAAATAAAAGATAATACACAAGTGGTATTTCCCAACCTTCACATAAAGGAAATTGCCTCAGCTGATTGATTTTATCTGGTGATATTGAGAATAAGATTCTGATCCAATAAATGATATAGTTGTAGCCAAAAATGACCTCCATGGATAAGAGAAGAGGGGACCATGCACTGCCCATCAAGAGCCGGTCATTAGTCTCGGACCAAGGACAGGGTTTGCTGCTGAACCACTGGCCTTTGGAGTACATCTGTGAAGGTGTATAGAAGCTGTGTGGCTGGCACTCAAGTGGCCGGACTCGAGATAGTCAGACTGAACTCTGATCCACTGCTGATAGTGACCCTCTAAACCTCAACCTCTTTGTCCATAAAATGGGAGTGATACTTGCATTTGCTTTCAACAGGTGGTTGAAAATATTAAGGAAATGTTTGTATGTGCACCAGCTGATGAATGGATAAATAAAATGTGGAATGGAAGGTATTATAGTGGAATATTATTCAGTCATAAAAAGGATTGAAGTATTGACACATGCTACAACATGGATGAATCTTAAAGACAATTTGCTAAGTGAGAGAAACCAAATGCGGAAGGTCATTTATGATTCTTTTTCTATGCAATATTCAGAATAGACAATCCATAGAGTCAGAAAGTAGATTTTCAGCCTCTGATTGCCAGGGGCTTGGAGGAGAGGAAATGACTCCTAATAGTTACCAGGTTTCTTGTGGAGGTGCTGAAAATGTTCTGGAATTAGATGCATAACTCTGTGAATAAACTAAAAAACACTGAATCATATAATTTAAAAGGGTAAATTTTATGGCATTCAAATGATTTCTCAATAAAAAAGAATGTTATGATCATTTGAAGAACAATCTGGAAGCATTTAGTGACACTAAATATGTATGTCCCTGTGACTTAGCAATCTTACTCCACTCAGTATGCTCTGACAGTCAGAACCATAGCAGCATATACACAGGCTGTTTATTGTGTTGTTTTTGACAGAAGGATATTAGAAATAACCTTAAAGTTCATCACTGGGGAACTAGATAAATAAAAGACAGTGGATACATACTGTCAAACATCATGTAGCAACTAGTGGCAGTGTGCCAGATGGGCATTCATACTATAAAAAGATCATTGAAACAGTGCTGAATT